CCATGCCCACGGGAGACCTGGGACCACACCGGTGCCTACCTGTAGGAGGTGTGCGGTGTGCAGGGTGCATGTGCCCGCACCACTAGGAACACGTGTTGGAAGTGTGAGCGGATGGTGGCGGGGCAGAAGGGCTTGCTGCCAGGCTCCTGGAACACGATGGTCACAATGTCGTTGCCAATGTGACGCTTCCGCAGGAGCTGGGGGTTGGATAGTTGGGGCTCCTGATGAGGCCTGCCATGCCCCAAACCCCTCCTTATTCAAGCAGGAGAAAGCCAAGACACCAATGGCTCCCCACTGCCCCGGTGAAGACCTAGGGTGTTTGCCTTTGGGAAGGGGCCACCAGAGGGGCGGGTTGTTGGGGCCAACAGAGCTCCAGCCAAAGCTCAAATGTCATGGACCATGCAGGGCCCTCCATGGTTCCCGGAAGCCCCACCCCCACGCTGGTCCCCCTCACACCTGCTGCTGGTTGTTGGGGGTGTAAGGCAGCATCGTGGACACGTGGAACATGATCTCGTGGTCCTGGTACGTGGTGTAGAGGGAGTGTGTGCCTGTGGAATCCGCTGTGGCCAGGGAGTTAGGGACACAGAAGGAGAAAACAAGGGGAATCTGAGTGACTTGAACTTGCCACTCCTGTCTGCACACAGGAGCCTCTGTGCCCCAAACAGCAGGTGGACAACCAGTCATGCCACCAGCCAATGCCCAGCCAGTGAGATCCAAGGGCCTCATCCCTGGGTGCCCCTCCTCCCCTCCCTCCACAGGCTCCAGCCCCATACCACAGTGAAGGGGGGTCAGGATGGGAGCGTTGAAATAGAATGAAGACAGAAATGAGAAGGGGTCTCAGAGAGAGGCCAGGGTCAGGTGTCCTAGGAGAACAGGTGTCACTCCAGGCCCAAGCATGTGTGGTATGCTGGGAAAGTGAAAGGCAGGCAGGGGTGCTCAGTACAACACCTCCCAGGGGTCCTGGGGCCCCTTCCACCAGGGAGGCAGGGGCACCTCTCTTCCATGAGGCTGAGCTGCTGGAATGTGTTTGGTGGAGGAGTAGTGCCCCCAAACCACTTTAGCCCTAGCTCAGGCAGTAGGGTACTTGGGCCTTGAGGGACAGTCCCAGCACCTCCTCTCAGCCCATAGTTTGGCCCTTATAGCCCTGACTCAGATCCTCAGCTTACACAAAGAACTCTCCAGCCCCCAGCCCCAGGATTGTATGGACAAAGGAGTGACAAGGCAATTCGTGCTCACCCCTTCAGCACAGATTTGCTCCCACCCCTCCTGCCCCTGGGCCTCACTTTTGGTGTCTAGTTGGGCCCGGTAACTCTCAAAGCCTTTGAGCCGCACCACATCGCCCAGCAAGGTGAGAAACTGCATGAAGGCTGGTCCCGCCTCCTGGTTGTTGTACATCTCCTCCTCTGAGCCCTGGCCCGCCCGGCAGTACAGGATGCCCACCTTGCGCTGGAAACTCAGCTGTGGGTAGGAGACAGAAGGCATAGGTCTCAGTCCCCCACAGCCCCACCCCACCAGCTCTTAGGGAATGGATGGGACGCTGGCCTGGGGGCTGAGCACCAGCCCTCTCTGAGCCACTTGTGTCCTTGCCTGTCAGGTGAGTACAGTCTGTTGTGCTCCTCGTGCTTGGGAGGGCACAGGTAGGAAGGGATGGGAGGAGGCTGGTTCCCATGTGGCAGTAGAGAAGGTGATTCATAGAAAGAACCCTTCCAATAAACATACACATTATCATCCTCCTTATCTCAAGGCTGGACTGTCCTCTCCACCCCTGAATCCAAAGCACCCCCACCCCAGCCCCTTCAGGCCTTGAGCCAGGCACCACCTCTGCCACCCATGCTCTCATTTCTGTGCCCTCTGTTCCTGGCTCTTCCCTCTGCGGATAACTGGATAACCGTGCCCAGCTCAAGGTGCTCTGAGCTCCTCCGAACAGCACAGGCTCCCTCCAGCAGTCACCTCCCTTTTCTACAACTAAACTTGTCTGCACTCACAGTCCCCACTTCCATTTCATTCCTCCCAACCCCCTGCACCTCCCACTCCCCATATGGACCGCAGATGTGGCCTCATCCTGGCACCCTCCCGGCCACAGTTGGCACTGAGGATAGCTGGAAACTCACCTTGCCTAGGGCCCCAGGGACCCCGTCCTCTTCTGCCTGGGCCTCTTCTCCACCCATGCTCCTCCCACTCCCGGGCTGCAGCAGGCGTGACACCCCCATCTCCGCCTCCCACTCAGACCAGCCTACCAAACCCCAGGCCCTTTTCTCCAGCTGCCTAATGTCTCACCTCGCTGTGACTCCTCCACCCTGCTCCTCCTCCTTAAAGCACCACTCCTGGGGGCCAAGAAGCTGGGCAATCCTAGCACTTCACCTCTTCCAGTCAGCCACATGACTACCCAGTCCCTCTTGGACTGTCATCTCCTCTTCACCTCCACTATCGATGCCACTGTGTCCAGTCTGGGCAATTGCAACAGGCTTCAGCCTGGCCTCCCCGCCCCATACAGTCTAGTCCCCATGCTGCAGCCAGAGAGTTGCCCCTCTCAGATCTGCACTGGATCCCTCCATGGCTCCCCAGTGCCCATGGTAACAAATGCAAGCTTCTCCCCAGCCCCTCCCCACAATCCCGACCCCAGCCACGCTGAACTGACTGCCTACTGTGCCATGCTCTCATTCTCCAAGCCTTTGCACAAGTTACTCCTTCTGACTAGAAAACACCTGCTTATCCAGGCTGGAGCCCTTTTATGTTCTCCCTCCTGGAAAACCCTGGCCAAGGAAGGGCTCTCAGCACCACCCTTGTGGCCCACGGAGCCCTCAACATTCCCCTTTCAGTGTTATCCTGCTCATGTATTTCAGCAGTTCTCTGTGGGTCTCCTTCTCCCACCCAGCTGTGAGCTACTCAAGCAAAGCACCTGGTCTAGACCTGTCCCCAGCATCCAGTCTGAGGCCTGGCACCAAGAAGGTCTAAGAAATGTTTGTTGAATGACTGATGGGTTGAATGACACAGAGGAGACTCAGCCAATAGGCAGCTTTCAGCATGGAGTGGGGGCTGGAAGGAGCCGCTCCAGGAAGCTGGAGCACCACATGTGAGAGGAAACCCAGCAGGGGCTGTGGGGGAAATTGGCCAGGAATGATGCGGGAACTGCAGGACCAGTGGGGTGAGTCAGACCAGGGCGTCTAGGGCTGTAAAGATCTTTTTAAAATGCAGACTCTGGGCCGAGTGCAGTGGCTCACGCCTGTAATCCCAGCACTTTGGGAGGCGGAGGTTGGCAGATCACAAGGTCAGGAGTTCGAAACCAGCGTGGCCAACATGGTAAAACCCAGTCTCTACTGCAAATACAAAACTTAGCTGGGCATGGTGGTGCGCACCTGTAATCCCAGCTACTCGGGAGGCTGAGGCAGGAGAATCGCTTGAACCCGGGAGGTGGAGGTTGCAGTGAGCTGAGATTGCACCATTGCACTCCAGCCTGGGTGACAGAGCGAGACTCCATCTCTAAATAAATACATAAATAAATAAAGAGCAGACTCTGATTCAGATGGTCTGGGGTGGGGCCCCAGAATCTGCATTTCTAGATGATGTGGATACTGCTGGTCTACAGAGCTCACTTTGAGAAGCAAGGCTCCAGATGACCTCTGATACTTTCTCTCTGAAAATCTAGCTCTCCTGGGGTCACCACCCAGCCCAGGATCAGGGTCAAGGCTAGGGGTTTGGGAGCTGGGCAGGCTGGGTTCAGACTGGGGCCAGTTGTACGGCTGTGGGCTCCGCGGCCGGTCACTCACCACTTGCTCATCCAGTGTGAGCAGCGTCCGTGGTACCTTGGGTGAAGCTGAGCCCAGGCGCAGGCAGCTGGGGCTCAGCTGCGGCGCCACGTGTTCCAGAAGTTTCCTTGGGGACAGACCCCGTGGGGGCCCCGGCGGCAACGCGTCCTCCGAGATGGTGCCACGGAGGGTCCGGAGCTGAGGAAAGGGTGTAGGGGAACTCAGGATGCATACAGGGTGTCGGGGAGGCAACTCACGTCCTGATCCCGTGATCCCGGCCCACCTGCGTAGTCCGCACGATGACGCGGTAGCTGTGCAGGGTGCCCCCTCCGCTGCCCTCCTTCTCCTCCCGCCGCAGGCTCACTGCCACCGGGCCCAGCGACTCGTCCATCCCGAAGAAGTTCTGATGTTCTGGGGGACCGCGCCGAAGAAAATGATTGGTCCCGCCGGCTGGCAGCCCCGCCCCCGCTCGACCACGCGCATCACTAAGCTCCGCCCTCGGCTTCATTTCACCACCAAATGCTGACCCTAGACTAAGTCCCGCCCCTCTGTAGCCCCGAGCTCAACATCTTGATCTCAACCCTGATCCAGAGGTGGACCCAGACCCAGACCTAGATCCACGCAGCCAGCTCCCAGGCCTAAATCCTGCCTTGGCCCCGCCCACCACGCCCCCATTCTGTCTTCTGTGTCCTGGAGCCCTCTCCGCAGTGCAGGTGAGAACAAGGTTCACGGATGCAGGGCTTTGGGGCCTGAGTTTTCACCCCACAGAAATGCCCATAGGGAATCTCTCCCCAGCCCGGCAGGCTGAACCAGATGGAGGCAGAGGGACCAGCCCTGGCTGGGGGTGAGGGGCCAGGGATTAGCCTTAAGAAGGTGGTTGAAAGTGGGTCCAGGAGGACCCCAGCTCAGCTCTTGAGCCCTCCCAGGGCCAGGGACTTTACAGGAAATGGACAGTTCATGAGCCCTACTGTGTGCACTGCAGGTGACAGGGACCTCTTCTTCAGCACCCCTCCTCCCCTCCCTGGAACTGCCTTTCCTCACCTTTGCCATAGAAGTACTTGCGGTAGTAGCCAGCACCCAGGTCTGCGTGCTCCAGGCTGTAGGCCGAGGTTCGGTTCTGTGGCTCCTCCAGGATGGACACGGCCGCGTTGGGCAGTGCAGGGGGCACAGGTGGGGATGCTGGTCCACCCAGGCCTAGCTCACCCTCACCCCCGAGCTCACACACAAAGCCAGGTGCCCCATGCAGCAGGTCCGAGCTGGCAGCCTGGTCGTCTGCTGAAGCCAGGGTCCCAGAGCTGGCCTCTGAGTGGCTCCCCGTCCCCTGAGACCTCGGAGCCCAATCAAAGAGCAGGCTTTGCACGTCATAGTGGGCAAACCATCGAGGCTCAAGCACTGGTGGGAAGGCAGGCTCTGGTTCCTCGGCTGGCAGCCCCAGCAGTGCCAGCGGGTCAGTGAAGAGCCGGGTGGAAGTGGCTGCAGGGCGGCTGGCCTCTTCGTGGCTGTGGGCACGGGCACGGGGGCTGGCTGGCGTGGGGGGTCTGGCCTCGCCTGCATCACTGCCACTGCGCAGGAGCGGGCCCCGGACTGGCCTCGGATCGAAGGTGTGCAGTGTCAGCGGGGGCCGTGCTGGCTGGCGCAGCTTGCGGGCAAAGAGGTCATCCGTGGACGCAGGGGCCATGCCCCGCCGAGGGCTCCCCACACCGCCAGCCCACATGGGCACGTTCTGTGGGCCTGACTCTCCGGGGGCTGGGCCGCATTGGCGGGCACGGGTGTTTGGTGCCCAGCCGGAGGTTGCGGCAGCAGTTCCTGCCCTGAAGGAGGAGGGGGCTGTTCAGAGGGGCCTGGGCAGAAAACAGGAACCCAGGCCCCCAGCCTGGTCCTCCACCACCCGCGTTGGCTTCCGGCCCCCTCCGAGACCATCAAAGCTGCTTCCGCTTTCCAGGCCACTTCCTTGTCTGCCTAGGGCTGAGGTTTTCAGCCCCCTCCCCGGCTTAGCTGGGCAGGGCTAGAGGCTGGGCTGTTGGGTCTTGGCCCTGAGGGTCCTGGAGCCTGGGCAGTCCTGGGGCTTCCAGGGTCCCCCAGTTGCCACCCACACACCTTAGCTTTGGCCTGGGCCCAGAGTAAGGGTCCCACCAGGACCTAGCCCAACTGGACAGATGACTTGTATTGGCTGGGACGGGAAACCCAGGGGCCACTGGTGTCTGGGTCCTGCCCACTTAACAAAGGGAGGACGTCCTGTCCCCAGAGACCTTCCTCCCTGCCCCTCCCACTTCCTTCAGGGTCCCTGGAGAGCTGATCACCCAGAGAGGTCTGATCTCAGTGCCCTGGACCTCAAGGCCTCAATACCACAAGGACACATGGGTTCCCAGGGGGGCAACGGCAGGGCAGCAGGAATGGCAAGAGGACTTCCTTCAGCACAGGAAGTAGCCCCAACTGTGGGCCCAGCCCTCTGCCAGGCCCCTACATCCTGAGGAAGGTGCTGGGGTCACAGCAGCCGTCATGGGACCCCAGTCACCCTGGCCTGAAGGACAGGCCAGCTCACCTTCTTGCAGGCTACTGTGCCCAGGCTTGGGCACAAGAGGAGTCACAATGACAGGGACCCATAGGGACCTCTGCCTACCTGGTCTCACTGATGCAGACAGGGAGGTCTGAACCCCATGTGACAGATGGTCAGATGAGGTCCAGAGGAGATGCTCTTGCCTGAAGCAATTCCATGTCAGAGCTAGGATTTGAGCCTGGGTCTGTTCATCTTCAGGGCCTAAGCAGGGCTGCACCTGCCCACTGCTGTCTGTGTGCGTAGGTGTTGGGGGGTGGGTGTTGGGCTGAGGTTCAAGGTCTCACAGGATGCAAGATTGAGACACCCAAAGCCCCAGGGACCTGCTAAGTGCGTAAATGTGACGCCAGAGGCAGGTGCAAATGTTGGTGGGAGAACTTGAGGGAAGCCACGCCCACGCAAGACCTGGATGGACTAGGCAGTGAGGACAGGGAGCTGGGGACCTTCCACTGGGGGTACAGGCATCTAATGGTGGGTCTTCCTGCAGCACCCAGCGACATCATGCAGGGCTGGGCCGGTGGAGAAGGGGCTCCACACACCCCTCGCCTGGGGCCTCCAGAACCAAGCAAGGGTCGGCTCCCCACCCCAGGTGCCTTCTACCTTATTTCTCCTGAATAAACTCCCATGCTGACCTTGAGCTTCTGTTTTCTCATCTCTAAAATGGGGTTAACTGGCTGGGCGCAGTGGCTCAGGCCTGTAAGCCCAGCACTTTGGGAGGCCAAGGTGGGGGGGGGGGGATCACCGGAGGTCAGGAGTTGGAGACCAGCCTGGCCAACACGGTGAAACCCTGTCTCTACTAAAAATGCAAAAATTAGCCGGCTGTGGTGGTGCGTGCCTGTAGTCCCAGCTACTCAGGAGGCTGAGGCAGGAGAATCGCTTAAACCTGGGAGGCGGAGGTTGCAGTGAGTCGAGATCACACCACTGAACTCCAGCCTGGGCGACAGAGCGAGACTCTGTCTCAAAAACAAAACAAAACAAAAAACCTGGGGTTAACTATTTCTGTCCCCTCCCAAGGCTGTTGAGAGACTGAGTAAGGTGAGTGTCGCTAGCTATCTGTGTATGTGAAGGGTGTAGCCCCTGGCTCCATGAGCCAAGCTCTGGGCACATCCTGCGCTCGGGCCTGGGCTATAGTGTGTGAAGGAGTAGGAGGGCATGAGGGAGGGGGTCTGTGCAAGCCCCGCTCCGTGTGGGCTGAGCTCTGCACGCTTGGAAGTGAGCTCTGTGCATGTGTGCACCCAGCCTGTGGGCTGCCTCTTGCTGTGGCTCAGTGCCAGGCTCTGGCGCTGCCTTGAGGGGTGTTCTTGGGCTCTGCCCCCCACCCTGAAGCTTCACACAGGGTCCATTGAGGCCAGGACATTCCTCCGGGTCTGTGTCACTAGGAGTGGGGGGAAAGGGCCGGCCCCGCCCCCACAGATCCGGAAGGCCTGGCTGCCCCAGGAGGAGGAGCTGGCCACTTCCCAGCACATCTGGAGGTCATGACCCCATTTCGGCTGCCAGGGGGCGCGACAGATGTTTCCTCCCAGGCCAGGCGAGGGACTGGGGTGGAGGCCGCCTAAGGAGAAAAGGAGCCTCAGAATAAGGGGGAGCCCCGCACACACTTGCAGTGTTGAAGGGGAGGGGGGTCACAGCACCGCCACCAGGAGTCAGGAGCCGCCGCCTCCACTCACCGGTTTGCTGGCCAGGCTAAGCCGTCACACAGAGGAAGTAGGAACGGCTGGTCAGAGACAGGGGGCTGGACATATTGACTCGAGACTGAACTGGAGCCCGGAGGGAAGTTGGGAGGGTGCTGGTGGCGAACGTGGCGAGGACCCCACTCCCATACACATCACCCGGGCCCACGGCTAGGCCCTCTCCCCTGACGGGCCCGACAGCAGTGCCTCCCGTCCCTTGCTCCCACCAGTACCTCTGGGGCTCCCGCCCAGCCGCCGCCGCCCGCGCTGGGGTCCCGCTGACGCTCTCCCGCTACAGCTCCCGGCGCCGGCTCCGCCTGGGGGCGGGGCCGTGCCGGGGGCGGGGCCATGTTGGGGGCGGGACCAGCCGGGAGCCGTCTGCGGCGGGAAGTGCAGCGGCGGGGATTTCAGGCCTGGCGGCGGTCAGCCCCGAGCAGTACTGACTCTAAGGCTATTTCCTCGGCTAAGAAACCTGTGCCTGCCTTCCAGACCAACCGGGGGTAGCCCCACCTAGCGTCCAGTTCTCTGCCAGTATACAGCAGATGCTCAAGAGTCTGCCACTACTTTATGGAGCACTTGCTAAGCACTGGGCCCTGGGCAACTGTTCCACTAGTGCGCTCTCATTTATTCATAAAACACCTTAGACAGGTGTCATCTCTTTACGCCTTGGAGCAACTGAGGTCCAGAGAAAGGCTTTTGCCAAGGACAAGCCTGATAAATGTAGGAGCCACCAGACCTGGAAGTCTCTGACCATATGGTGGGAAATGGCAGACACTATCCTTCAGATGAAGGCTTGAAAAGGGAGCAGTCCTGCAGGGAAGAGGACCCGGTTCTACCTGAACCCCACCTTGGTCTGCCCTTGATATCTACCAGACTTCAGCCTCACATCCTTCACCCCTCTGTGTGCTTGTCCATCCCAACGTGGCCACCCATACTATGATGTACCCATTCCCAGGTAGAAAAAGAAACTGCCAACCAAAATCAAAAATAGTGTTATTAATTCTGATGTCTCCGAAGCACAAAAAAAAAAAAAAAAAAAAAAAAAGAACCAAAAAAAAAAAGGAAATAAAGAAACCACCCTTCCCACACTTCAGGCCCCAGGTCCAGGCCAACGGGGCCACCCCTGCAGTCAGTGCAGGCCCAGGGGCTGAGGTGGTCCTGACCACGGGCTCCAAGAGGGACCAGCCCATGGTTTGGCTCTTAGGGTCTGGCTGGGAGGCTGACTGCCTCCATCTGGGGAGCCCAGGCCCTGGACTGGGGATGAGAGAGATCAGGGGTCAAGGTCAGAGGTCTGGGTCATTCAGTTTTGGTACTCTGGCCAAGGCAGCCAGAGGTCAGGGTTCAGACATGGAGGCCAAAGCCACTCAGTTCTGTGGTCCAGCAGAGAGGCAGCAGAGCAGGTCCGTTACTGAGTCCTAGGAGGAGATCCAGTGGGCGCCACGTAGCTCAGTACTGGTGTTCCAGCAGGGGCTGGGCAGCCGGGCTCTCACGCTCCTCGACAGGGGCAGGCCAGTCGCCCAGGGCACCCGTAGGTGTGCCACTCTCAGGGGCACTGCTGTCCAAGCAAGGAATGTCCTGGGCAGCTCTGGGGGGTGAGGCCTCAGTGCTGACATCCGGGCTGAGGCTGAGGCTGAGGTCTAGAGGCGCCTGGGGGAGGGGAGAGAGATTGGCAGATGAGCAGGCCTTAGCCTTCTGCGACCCAACCCTCCCACAGGTGCCTTACCTGAGATTTGGGGGTACCTCCTTTGGGGCTACCTGAGGCTGGCTCCCCATCAGATCCTCCTAGCCCCTTCCGGCCCCCCAGGCTCCACTTCCCACTGGGGCCCTCAGAACTGAGGAGACCAGGACCAGGGGGCCGTGAGGTCCGGGGACCCTCTGTGGGGGTAGGCGATGCAGGGGGTGGTCCAGGGAGCCGAGGGGGAGGCCACTGCAGCAGAGGTGGGGGCCGTCCATCACCAGAGCCACTCAGGGAGGGCCGCGGCCCCCAGCCAGGGCCTGGTGGGAGGGGTTGGTCACCATTGCCTGTAGGAGACAGATAAGACAGCAGAGACCTCAGCTGGGCTGTACTTCTCACCCACGGGTTCAGCCCAGCCTCGCCTGCTCACCTGCCGTGTTCTCAGGCGTGGGGTGTGCCATGGGAGGGTTATTGCTGAGGGAGGTCAGGCCACCGCCCCCGCTACAGTCTGAATCATCCACGTTCCCGCCACTATTGCAGCCGGCACCACAGCCCTTGTGAAGCCTGGGGGTGGGGAGGTAGAAAAGGGATCAGGAGGGACATGTCTGAGGCCAGAGTCCTCACAAGCATGAATCCTCAGCCCCAGGACAAGTCATCTAATACCTCTGAGCCCCAGGATCCTCCCCTCTAAGAAGCTGCCACCTACTTTGCAGAGTCTTTTGAGGGTGCGTTGTCAACAGTGCTTGACGGCTAAAGGCCACTGTTAGCTCTGGGGGTAAGGTGACATCTAGGAGGGGCAGGTCAGCTCTGGGAGGGGGTCATCTCTCGGGATTCAAGCCCTGGCTCCAGCACATCCTCCCTCTGAGACCCAGGAGGGAGGTACTGCACCTCAGCTTCCTCCCGTGCCACACGTCACCCCTTCCCGAGGCCTCACCTCTCCCAGCTGCGCAGGAGCCAGCGGGCAATGGCACCCAGGCTGATGGGGCCACCCCACAGCGCCCGTAGCTGGGGGTGGCTGCCAGCCAGCGAGGTGGTGAGAGGCGACACGTAGATGGGGTAGCCCAGCGGCTGGTCACAGGAGGAGTTGATCATGTTGCGAAGCGCCTGCTTGGCATTCTGGATGCTGCCACGCTCAGGGTTGCGGTTGCGCAGGAACACCAGCTCCTGCTGCTGCCCGGCCCACAGGCCGCGCACGCACTCCCGGTTCACCTGTGAGCCACATGCCAGGGTCAGGGGACTGGCCCAAGGGGTTTTGGGGGCAGGGCTTAGGGCAGGTGGGGCCGGCCCAACCTTGATGACTCGGAAGCTGAGGTGGCGCCGGTTGAGCATGATGATCTTGTACTCATCAGAGGCATCATCCAGGACGTGGCGCAGCGCCAGCAGGGAGGGCGTGTTGCTGAGGATGGCGCTGCGCCATGCCGGGTCACCCTCATGTGAGATGACCAGCCGCTCCTCGTTGGCCGCAATGGCATCGTATAGGGCTGCTGGCTCCTCATATTCATCTGGGGACGTGAAGTGGTCCTGGTAGGGAGGACAGGGGGACCGGGGTCAGTGGCCCCTGCCCTGGAGACAGGCTTCATTCCCCACCTGCCCATGCGCTGGGCACACCCCTCCCCCACCTGGTGAAGCTTGAGGGCCATGCGAACCCCAGGTGCCACAACGCGGTGAAGCAGGTCCATGTCGGCAAAGACCCACTCATCGCGTGGGGAGGTGATGCGAAAATCCCCCTTGAACAGGGCGTGCAGGCCGTAGAGGAAGGGCTCCAGGCTAAGTGAGAGGAAGAACAGGGAGGGGAAAGAGAGGGGTGTCGAAGACCCAGGGGTAAGGCTTCAGAGTGATCCAAGCAGAGGCCTTTCCTCACGCTGGGCCTCAGTTTCCCCATCTTGACAGGCCAATCTCTGCCCATGTCTCTCACAGAGCGCTGAGGAGCAGGCAAGGTCATGACCCGGAAGTGCCCTGCCCACAGGAGAAGAGGTACCCCAATAGGAAGGGCCACTGCAGCCAGAGACCACAGGGCTCTTCGTGGAAGAGGTGGGGTGGGGACGGCAGTAGGCCCAGTGGGACACCCGAGCACTCACCTTGCAGACATGCTGTGAGAGGCTGTCCCCAGGGCCCGGCGGCCCAGCACACATAGGCCAAAACACAGCGTGACCAGCGGGGAGTTCCAATCCTGGTCCACGGGCTGTGGCATAAGGACCCCCGTCCCAGAGCCCAGCTCAGACCTGGGACAGGGAACTTGGAGTGGGGGCTGGGGCCCAGGCCAAGGGAGGCTCAGAGTGAGAGGAAACCAAATAGGGAGAAGGGAGGCAGGGAAGCCCAGGTCCCACAGCCCCACGTGGCAGCCTCAGGTAGTGGAGCCTGACCTGGCTGCGCCGGGAGGCACAGTACTGGATCCACTCGAGGTGCACTGCGCAGAAGGAGGGCAGCGAGAGGCCAGACAGGCGGAGGTCATAGTCCTCATCCACACTCAGAGAGAAGGTGGGGTCCGAGTCGGCATAGCCGGGCGCCCGCACAGGCCTCAGGGCTGCCGCGATGCCCTCGTGGCTGAGCCACGCCTCCAGCTTTGGTGAGCGGCTCACGTAGTAGATGATGCTCTGGGAGAGGAGGGGCAGGCGTCAGGCCGGGGTCCCAGCCCTGGCCACTGGAGAAGAAAGCATGGAGGTTCAGAGGCTCTTCCCCAAGACTGAGCTGAAGTCTGCTTTCTGGGATGCCCCGCTCCTAAAGCCGTCTCAGCTCTCAAGAGCAACTAGGCAAGTTAGCTCCTTCCCCTAAGCCAGGGAGGAGGAGCAACAAAGTCACCAGGAAGCACCCACTTACAGAGTGGTAAGTCCTGTGCTGGAGCCAGCACTCACAGGAAGCATCTGCCTGCCTCTGACCAGAATATGCCGTTTATATGAGAAATATGAGGCTCAGACAGATGGCAGCCCCTGAGAACAAGATCATCATGCTCAACCTTTACCACCTCAGCTTCCAAGTCATCAAGGTGGGAATGGCCCCACCTGCCCTGAACCCTGTCCCCCACCCGCCTCGGGCCGGCCTCAACCCTGGGGTGAGGCCCTCAGGTGAACCTTCAGTGCCAGTGCAGCCTGTGGGCGGGGCAACAGCAGGGGCTGGTGTTCCTGCACAAACAGAACCCCGAGCGAAGGAGCATCCAAATGTCACATGGGCGGGGGGCGGGGAGCAAAGCGGGCAGGACAGACTGAACTGCAATCTGAACACCAGACCTTCCCCATCATGACATTGTGGGATCCAGATCTCGGGGCCGGAAGGGCAGGCTGTAGTATTGGGCCTACCTCAGAGCGCCTGGGTCACAGATCCCTTTAGGCAGCTGAAGCATGACAGACATCAGGCCTCGCCTCAGAAAGAAGCCACGGGCACACCTGGTACCCAAAGCTGGGGGCTCCTGGACCTCTTGTTAAAAGGCCCTGTTGGTTATAAGCAGGGGTTTGGGCAAATGTACAGGAGCTTTGAAAGGCAGGTAGCTGGCATGGCCAGGATGGATGGGCAGGTTAAGGCCGGCAGGGCAGCCAGTGAGGTGACAAAGATTCCATGTGCCACCCTGAGACGGAGATAATGGGGCAGGCCCTTTGCCAGGGCAGACCCGCTCCAGACTGACCTTCTTGCCCACAGCTTGCCTCTACAAT